TATGAAAGAGACATGTATTATTATATACTTGTATATAAAATGGCAAAGTATTAATTAATATTTTATATGTTATTTTATATAATTTATATTAATTAATATTATTAATTAATGATAATAATAATAATAACAAATCTTGTTAAAAAACCAATCGACTTCACTTTAAGTATAAATTCAAGAGTTATAAACTTCCTTTTCTTAAATACATTACCATAACAAAAACACATAGATACTTCCATATTAATGAGATTGAACATAAAAAATATTCTACAACTATATCTTAATACTAATTTAATACTAATAAAAATAGTATCCTTATAGCAAAAGTCTACTCCAATATCACTGTGATTTTCAATAGATAACTAATTTCAGCAATCCTTGTTTCTAATTCTACTCAGTATATTTATTACAAATGGGTAGATAGATCCGCAAAAGTAACTAATGTACGCAAACTAGCTTATAAACTATATTTCATTGCAATTTTTATGTACAGTGAAAGCTGTCATAACCGGCTACTTAACTTCAAACAGATTTTGTATATTCAAACAGATATAGAACTAAAAGGAATTAGCTCCAAAAAAATTTTAAATAATTTTTAAGTTAAAAAAAATATCCTTTTACAAAAAATGCCCATTAGCAGAGCTTTCACTGTATATGTATATTCGCACAATGACATGTAAATGAAAGAAACAAACTTAATTTTACTTAACTATACTCTGTATATATGGAAACTAATAAAAAATATATGTTAAATATTTTCGATTATAATTACTGTAAAATTGATTTTAATTAAAATGTAGCAATAAATTGTTAAATTTAATATTTTATATAAATTATCTACTTGTTGATAACAGTATTTGTTAGACTAAATGTATTTTACCTATTTAAACTATTAAATTAAATATCGAAAACCACATGAAAACTTCCTGTATATATTTGTTGTTATTTCATGTCTACCTAAATAAAGTATCTTTTATCAAAAATATCAATATTGTGCATGAAAACATATGAACACGCTATTGTACAAAACTTAATTACAATAATTAGTTGTAAACTTAAATGTAATTGCTGAGCTGTAATTAATTCCTGATTTAAAAGAAAAAAACTTACAAACGTTTTAATTACTGAAATGATAATTAATAATTAAATGGATACCTTAAAATATTTATAAAATATTATAGATACCGAGTTTGTAAAAATGTATAAGTATTCAAAGATATATAAATTAATAAAAAAAATATTTAAACAAAAATAAAAATATGTATTTTATTAAAATAAATCTGGGCAAAAAATAAAAGACGTTCAGAATATCATGGCACCATTTTTCATTTCTCTGGCTTTAATCACAGAACATTATTTAGCTCGTAAAACTATTGTTTGAGTTGAATTCCATCACATATATTATATACTGAACCTTGATGTAAAAAAAATAACGTATTTTGAAACTTAAGTTATGAGAGCTAATCTATTCTCACAGATTAAATATGGTGCATGGCAATTTATATGTTAGATGGTTAGACAGTTCGATGTTGTATATTGTATGAAATTTCAAGAATTATAATAAAAAAGAATTTTTTAGTTGAACGGATTCGAATAGCAAAGAAAAGAGAATTTGAAATGTGGCTGACCAGACAACGCTGTTTCGAGTATTGCCAAAAATTAACTTTCAATTCGTTGAACTTGTGTTTCCAAATAAAGCTGTAGTTTATAATTTAATTTAAAGCACGAGCAAGTGCTTTGGTTAGTGTCACTAACTAAATAAAAAAAAGACAAAAAACCTCGAACTTCAGCATTGAAAGTTTGTGCAGCCTTGGCTAGTTGTGAATAAACACGATTAGTCATCGCTTCTAATTTGACAGGCATGAGTTCTAAGCCTGGCACTTGCAGTCCAAAAAAATTATATACGGACTATAAACTAATTAAATAAAATTCGATTATTTCCTAAGACCAGTGATGATGAGTACTTGACAATACTCGAAACAGCGTTGTATGGTCAGCCATATTTTAATAAAATTAAATAAAACTTTTATGTTTCCTTTCTTAAAGGCAATCATTTAGAGACTATATGTTATTAGTAAGGTTCAAGCGATATACTACGATCGTATATATAAAATTAAAAAAACGTTTCAAAAATTCGTTGAACATTTCCAGTGCTGTGTCGATTTGAAAGAAGACTAGTATAAATGAACAAGATTAAAACATTATAGTAATAAAAATTTTGTATAGTTTTTAAACGAGTCTAGTCGGATCTGAGACAAATTGTTTATTATTATTATAGTTACTTTTTAATTAACTTTGCCTAAACTGTTTGGTAAATTAAATATATCTCATGTGCAATAAATTATCGATAAAAATGTATTTATGTTGAATATTACTACAGAGATAATACAGAGATAGAGATAATAAAAGATTGGGTTTTAGTTTCTCGCTTCGACTACCAAATCACTGCAGCATTTTTCAGGCAGAAGTAATCACAATCAGTATTCTCGGATAGCCAAGCTGCCATTAAAGCACTGGCAGGCACTTTAGCCACATCAATCATAACTCAAAACTGCCGAGTTTCATTTAATGACCTTGCGAGGTGTGTCAAGGTTCAACTCATTTAAATTCCTGGTCATAGCTCAGCAACACGATATCTATTCTGATGGGCCACTGCGAAAAAGGGAGGCTATGAAGGCACTCTGTGAGACTGGGTCTACCGTGGGGTAGACTTTTGTCGCGACTGTAGTAGTGAGAATGAGGAGACCTTTATCGCATGTGTCAGTGCCCTTCTTTACTTAGTCGAAGATTAAAAATCTTCAGGCTGTCTTTTCTCACCGAACTGACCGAGCTATCTGACAGGTTGTGTGGGAGTCATTAATTTATTCGGCGTTCATAGATCTTTCAATGTATGTACATACAAATGATATTCCGACACTACCTACCTTGGCTTTAGTAAACAATTAAATAGGACCTGCCATATAAGGAAAGAAATGATCAATGCAAGTTTTGAATTTAAGGTCACGGGTAAACTAGAAAGGTCAGGAAAATAGAGTATACATGTTAAGGTACAGAAGAAAGAGCAGTTCGATCTTACAATTACTGCAGCCAGAATATTTAAGGACATAAAAACGGTTTTCTATTAATATGGAAAGAATAAAAATTGGATCAAACGACATTAATTTTTACAATTAAAGAAGAAATTAAACCTTCAGATATTGAAGATCTGTAGATCAAGTTTTCTTAAGAAATTAATTCATGATATATGGGGTATCAATATTTATTTATATTGAGAACCCTTAATATTACTAAATAACAGAATTGTACAAACCTTTTACCATATGAACGAAAAATTGTAAAAACGACAGTATGACTTGTCTTAGCTTCATAAAAGATAATTGATTATAAGGGTTTATTTTTTTTTTATTAATATATTTTTTTTTAGAAAGTGATCAAATGAAGCTATGCAGAATAAAATAGTTAAAACCCAGATTCAAATTTTTTTACAAATATCAACACAGACATCACATACATACTGCTTCTCACTCTTTGTTCATATGAAAGTAAGATTCGTTTACGCATGAAATAGATATGTAGGAGTTAGGCTAAGTTAGAGTTAGGTTAAGTTGCGTTCTAAATGAGGGAAATTCTAAGTTGTGCCGATAATGTAGTGATGTGTCGATACGTGTTGATAAATGGCTAAATGTATGCAGTGCAAAAAATCCCAAAAAATCTCCCATTTGGTTTAGCATCAACTTAACCTAACTCGCACACAGTAATATATTAAGTGAAGCGAGATATAATTGTTATACCGAACTGAGATTCTATCTATGCTTTGATTTACTGGTTTAAATTATTCTAAAAGCTTAGTGAAATGTTAAAAGATATACAACATACTCTTAATGTTTAGTACTAAGATGATATTAAGGTTAATTCCGTCAAAAATCGAGAAAAATGAAAAAGTTTTCGTTAAAGTTTTTAAAACTGTAGATTTCATTAATTTATAAGTTTGTATATAGTAATATGTAGTTTTAAAATACAATCCAAAAATATCGAAGAAGTGACCAAGTTTGTGTTCTGATTTGAGAGGGTCTAGAAAACAAAGCCCAAAATTTTATTTTAAAAAATTTAATTTTAATATCACTATTGGTTCAGAAAATACTTATACAATCATATTAATAACACTGCTGGTTCACATACTAATGATTGCCTCAGCGCAGAGAGTCGGTACTTCTTAAGATATATTTGAGTTTGGGTAAACTGTACCCATATTTAATTCATAACTTCTCACTAAATAGTTTTTCAACTAAATTCGCATATAATTCTATATGTTTTTCTGTTCTTCAAAATATATCAAAATGGCTCACATTTAAACACTGACCAATAATTAATAATAAAATAACATATTTCAGAACTATTATTATTATGTATTATTATTATGCCATTACTAATATAAATCGAATACGGGTTTAATTAGTAAGATATTTATTCCACTATATTCAATAAGTCTTAAGAATTTTTGAATATCAAAAACATTTTCATTAGACATAATACATTCTATATATCATATGTGAATTATAAATGGTTATCATATATAATTATGTTTTACAATACCATTGACATATATATTTATTTCCTACATTACTAGTGATCTTGATGTTATTTCCTATAGATAAAAAAAAAAAAATTATTAAAATGAAATCTTATTTACTTTTATGCCAAATATCTACTGCATTCAATACTCTTCTGGAAGAGTTAAAGAATATTATAAAATGAGTTAAAGAACAAATGAAACATCTATAAAACTTTACTATATAGATATGGACTCTCATTCAGAACTTTGAAATAGGGTATTCCCCGATTAACTGTCAGTTGTTATATCTTAACTAATATTATCGCGCAGTATTGAAATTAAGACAATAGAAATAGAAATGAAATTATTTACTGGATATGGTGATGTGTTAATATTAATCATTTACTTTAAAATATTAAATTATCTACATAAATATAGAATATATTTGACAGTAAAATAAAAATAAAAAACTTAAGCAATGTGAAGGAAACTTTCGGTCAAAATTAATTGTTAAGGATTTGGCAAACTCAGAAACTTCATGTGCAGACAATTCATCATTATTCCATTTCTGCATTTAAGCATTCCTTAATTGGAATACTGGAATTTTGCTAGAAGATGAAAGCCATATTACTTTGTTTATTGTTGGTGTTTAGCAGTTGCTCTATTGGTTATGGCAGAGCCGAATATGTGCGCCATGAAGGATCGGACATAAGACCCACAGTGAGAAATGGAGTAGGTAAGTTGCATGGAATCGATATATGGAATATAACATATTATTAATTTATATTATTACAGATTGTTCAATAAGTTTAAGTGGCCGTGTGAAGCCTTTTCAGCCGCTCTTTATAATACCTCAAACCGACGAATTTTATCCTTTTAATGCAAATGGATGTGTCACATTAAATAGTGGTGATAGCATTGAATTTGTTTGTTCCGACAGATTTGCAGCGCCACTTGAAGGGAAAAATGTAATTGCGACTTGTGTAAGAGGTTCCATATTTAAAGTCAATGGAAAAGATATTGATGTGTATTCTATTTCGTGCACTTCTTGGCAATATTTCACAGCCAAACGGACTGGCAAATCATGCAATGGTGGCATATTAATTGAAGTTGGTTTTCAACTGGACGATAAACGCTTTGCAAAACAATATGCAGTTTGTTTCAATGAATCAGAAGAAGTAACACGTTATGTCCATCACATGCTCTCACCAGGTAGCAATAACTTTGCAATTGGTGTCGATTGTGGCAGATTCACAACTGCAAATTTCTTTCATAGAGAAGATGTGGATAGACTCTATACAAGAGTACAACATCAAGCCACAATCAATAACTTACTGGGCTGCAGTAAATATTTTGATGACCGCAATGATGTTATACTCACTCGTGGTCATTTGGCTGCAAAGGCAGATTTTGTTTATGCATCACAACAACGTGCCACTTACATTTTGATTAACGCCGCTCCACAGTGGCATAGTTTCAATGGTGGAAATTGGGAAAAAATTGAGAGCAGTCTACGTTATTGGGTATTTAAACAAAATAAATATATTGAATGTTGGACTGGCGTTTGGGGTGTGTCTTCACTACTTGATATCAACAATCAATATCAACCATTATATTTAGACTACAATAGTCGCAATAATGGTTTGATACCAGTGCCAAAACTATTTTTCCGTGTTGTTATCGAACCGAGTACTGGTAAAGGGATTGTATTTGTGGGTGTTAATAATCCATATTTGTCCCTTGATGATATTTTGAAGGATTATGTTCTGTGCCCAGACGTTAGCGATGTAGTAACGTTTATTAACTGGAACAAACGAAATATAAAGCAAGGATACTGTTATGCGTGTGAAGTTGCAGAGTTTGCAAAAGCCGTTCCAAATCTACCAAAATTTTCAGTAAACGGATTATTATATTGAAACTTATTTCAAAATTCTCGGCACACAAAATTCTTAATCTGTTTTAGAAAAAGATACACGTCTACTGAAACAAAATATATAACTCTTTTATATTTTTTAAACTTTTTAATGCAATAAAAAATTGTGACTGGAGATCAATGTGTATATTTAATATTTTTAAGATTTTGTTTCAGTTAATAATATATTCATTGTAAATTGTATGTTGTATTTACATAAACTTATATGAACAAAAAACCATTTGTTAAGAAAACAATTACAATATTCATGAAATCTGAAGTCATTTAATGAAATTAAAAGAAAAATTATTGAAACCAGTAAGAGGTTTAAAAAAATAAAAGCTTAAACAGTCTCACTTAAAAGCAATATGAGTCCAGTTAAAGTCCTTAACTATAGTACATCCATACTAAAAACATATATTTACTTAAATAAAATTGTAGCAGAATATTCCTAAACTCAATGAGGTATAAACCTCAGACATAAAAATGTCTGTGAACTCAGTAAGAATGAGTTCAAAGGTCTCAAAGGTTTCTCAGTCTTAAAAAGAAATCAGAAAATGTTTGTCTCAAATAAAAGATTAGCAATTAAAGAATGGATAATGTTGTCCTAAAGAAAATAGAAAGCAAATTGCAATTATTTAGTTTTTCAACTTTATATGGATTCTGTTGTGGAATGAGAATATAAAATATAATATTTAATTTGATTTTTCAAATAAGTATTGCTATTTTATATTATGAGAAGATCTGTAAGACTTTCTGTTTTGCTTATAGATTTAATAGTTAGTACTTATGGTTTATTTAATTTAGCTTTACTCAAATCTGCTTAGTAAGCAAGAATCTTGCCATCCTGATGAAATTGACCTACTGCAAAGTCATCATCACGACTAGCTTTACAGATCTACAAGACTTTTTTTGCTTATAGGTTCTATAATTAGTACTATTGGTTTGTTTAATTTAGTCATACTTAAATATGCTTAGTAAGTTGGATCTTGCCGTACTGATGAATTTTTTTTTACTTATATGTTCAGTAATCAGTATCGCATAGTAATAAAAGTAAGAAAGATCTTACCGTCCCTGTAAAAGTATTAGATGGTTACTGTATTACATACAGATACGCTGCAACACAGAGAATTCCCTACAAAGCATTTACTGGATAATGGGAAGGAAATCTACAAAAATGGACATATTACCGATGCAAAGATTCAAAGTACCCTGCAGTTTCACAGAAAATAGTGCGTGATCTCATACGTTAATCCCAGTTGTATTACAGTAGGGAATAATCCTAAGTATATTGTAACAAGATAGGGATAGCCACTTTGCTTAACTTAACATCGCCATATCCACACAAATCTTTTTAGTAAGTGCGAAATGTTAAGGGAAAACTGTAGTTTTTCTATTTTTCACATTTTTAACACTATATTTTACATAAGACAATGCTAAAAATTTCCATCCAATCGTTTTGATAGAAAAAGCATGCAGTCAACTTCTTTCTACAATAACCTAGTAATAATACTAAAAAAAATATTTAAATAACAATCTGTTCTTCTTCTAAAAGCTCCACATTAATCCCATGAAGATAAAGGTCTTTAATGGATGTCTGCCCAGTGTCATGCATCAATGGCTATAATTTTTGAAACCAGTTCTCGGCTTCTTTGTTCAAATATGCCATTTCATTTGGAGAATTCAAAATCACTTTTATCACTTGGTGATTTGTTTTAAAAATCACAAGTGATTTGTGTCTAAAACTTGCACAATCGAGTAAAAGTATAACGGACCTATTCAAAATTAAATTGATTATTATCACTTCAACGGATTACCTGATATAAGAGTAATCTTTGATCTGATACGAAAATGATTCAGGAGTTGCTAAATTCTGATTCAAATTTGGTAACATAAGATATTTGTAATCACTTAACAACATAACATATTGACATTGCTACTACTGGAAATCTTCTTACAAATTCACCAATTTCCACGAAAAATTTAAGCAAGTGCGGCCTATAACTCTACTCGGAGTCCAACGAAATCTTCATAAATGCTGCTATTATTTATTAAATTCTGAAAATAACAATGTATCGTTTTGGTCGGGACCCAAACATTAGAATAATTAAAAGGTAAACACTGACTACACAAACGTGAAAAATCTCTAATACCGATCAAAATTTTTAAACACCATAATATATTACAGTAGACTAAGTCTACACTAACCATCTTACTAATATGAATCATATTGATTTTAGATCACAAGAGAGCTTTTAAAATTTGTAATAGTGGTATATGAACTAACCAATCATATCTAGCAACACTGACAAGTGGCTTTCCAACTGCTTTAGGATAAAAATATGTAGTAAATAGACTCAGCTAAACTTTCTGAAACTTGCCAATAACAAATGAAAGTCGCTTAAATCATTTGCAACTTCCCGGTTAACAAGATCTACTTATAATAATATTAGATCTTTGGAACTCATCACAAACGATCATGTGAACACTCTATGGCTTACTGCAGTTCTTTCTGGTCGTTAGTATATAGGAACCCACGCAAAGAAACTGTGCATTACTCACAATCCAAACTACAAAAGTTGTGGGAACCTGCAGAAAAAAAAAACTTTCTCTGTAAATGCCCGGATTTGGCGTCCAGATCAAATAAGTTTTTTTGAAAGTATTTCTTTGACAGCTTATCAGACTGTTCATCGGTAAAGACGAAAGACCTATTGAAGTGAGTTTATATTCTTCTTTCTTAAGCGTTCTTGTAGGAATATGGTAGCAAAAGAGTGAAAAATCGCTAAGTGAGGTACATGAAAAGTTATTTGATGGCCTGTCACTACAACCAACCATTCATATAAACTCAGTTCACAGCATACCATTTTACAAACAAATTGAAGTAATTATTTATAGTTCCAATATAAACCCAGATCTTTGCAATATATAAAAAATAACTTTCGAGCATACTTATAAATCATTTTTATTAAAATATATAAAAAAATATATTCGTTTCCAAATACCGAAACCTAATTAAACCAATAAACCACCAGTGGCAGACACATTTGGCAAGTATGGTACCTTTTTAAGGAACTCACCAACTTCACAAGCATATGAATAGCCAGCAAGAATGTCAGTTTTCTTCCAGTTGACATAAGTTACCTGATCACTGACATCATTACAAAATATGTAATCCTTCTTAATTTGTTCCAAAGTCAAATGAGGATTGTTAACACCAACAAACACAATACCACGCTTGGTTGAAGGTTCGATCACAATACGGAAATAAATTTTTGGTACTGGTATTAAACCGTTATGATTGTCATCGTAAGACAAGTACAATGGAGTTTCTACACCATTCTTATCAGGTAAAGTGGTTACACCAGAAACACCTGTATAACAATTCACATCCATTTTATTCTTGGTAACCCAAGCGCGTACACCATCTTCAACACGTGCCCAATTACCAGCGTTGAAGGTTTGCCATTGTGGAGCTACATTGACAAATAAGAAAGTAGCGCGTTGCTCTGAGCCATAGACGAAATCAGCTTTGGCAGCCATATGACCACGTGCCAAGTAAACGTTCTTAGAGGAATCGAAGAAGCTAGCTGCATCACCACCAAGTTCGTTATTGATAGTTTCCAATTGTGTGACTTGTGTGTAGAGTTTATCAACATTTTTGCCATCGAAGAAACCAGCTGTTTGGAAAGTAAGACGATCTACACCTGTTTGGTAATAGTTGCTGGCTGGGTTAAGTTTATGACGCACGTAACGTGTAACTTCCTCATCCTCATTGAAGCATACATTGTATTGTTCAACAAAGCGATTAGATGCAATCTCAAAACCGGCGCGCAACCAAATGCCACCTTCACAGGTTTGTCCAGTCTTTTGTGCGGTGAAGGCTGGCCAAGATTTGCAAACGAATTCTTTGAAATCGTAGTTAGTGCCATCAACTTTAAAAGTGGTACCACCAACACATGTGGCTGTCAGGAGTTTGCTGGAGAAAGCAGTGAACTGATTGGGACACCACATTTCGAAGGTTTTGCCAGCATCGACTTGCATAACACCAAGCTCATTGTAGGGATAAAATTCAGCTTTGTTGGTTTGTAGGAACACTGGTTGTGGGTTTACCAAACCACCGCGTATAGTGATACTGCATTCTAGAATTTATTAAATTTTTATTTCTTTATGTCTACCTTCTTGGTTAAATAAAATATAAATTTACCATTAGCACGAACTTCTGGCAATACATCTACAACAATAGAACGTTCCAAAATCTCTTCTGGCTCTGGTGGTAACATAACATTGAAGTCCTCATCTATTTTCCATGCTTCGAGTAGGCCTCGAGGTATGGCTTCTACGCGTGCCTCTGCACCATTATAAATGCAGAGACTGTACGCAAAGAGCACTAATAACTCTGAACTTAACTTCATGTCGACCAATTAAGTTTTGGTTAAGGAACCGCCATGATGATAGCTTTAAATACCGTGCTGATAAGACAATTGTTGCTTTGATACGCGGTCTTCAAAATTAATTATAATTTATTACCTACTAAGACGCATTGGCGTAGTTTTTGTTGTGCTCGATGCTCGTGTTGATATCAGAGCTCTTTCGTGAAGGTGGGAAATTTGCAATATCTTTTTTAATTTTAACACATTTTAATAAAAGTATTTATTGTGAAAGCATGCCAGAATTGGCAACTAACTAAAGTCCATTTAATCTTTTCTTGCTAGTACGGGATTCTTTTTATTACAGGTATTGCTCTATTGCCTTATCAAATTGTTTATCAATTGCCATATAAATTTCAAATATTTCCAATCATATTTTGTAGTATGAACGTAAGTATATTTTTATATTTTTAATTTTTACAATTTATTTAGAAAATCGTTATCAATGATCTATATTTTATCGAGTGATATGCGAGCCTCATTGTTTGGCCAATTACGTACAAATAGAGTGAAGAGTAAATGTCTTATGGCTTATGGCTTCATGTTGTAGCTTCAATCAATGGTAAATCTACTATTCATGCTGTCTGGCATCAAAAATTCATAAAATGTTAATAAAAGTTATTATTTTAGCTTTTATCTATAAAAAACTTCAATGGAAATGTTTTCACGCTTAATTTGATTCAATCAAAAAGGAAGTGCAAAAGTACTTTGAAGTAATTAAGGAAATCGTTCTCAACAATTAAAAAAATAAATCTTAATTTTTTTTACTTTTACGCAAGATTATTATCACCAAGAAAATAAAAAATTATTTTCTCGTAACTATCACAGTTTGTTGTTTTTTTTTTAATCATTTGCCGTTTGGTCACGTTTCAAGATAACTTCTGTGATAACGTAACAAATATATAGCATGCGAGAACTCGTTTTGTCAGACAGCCACAAAGCAGTATATCATGACATAGAAAAATATGCTTTGATATTTTAAAAGAAATGCTGAGATAAAACGTGAATGCCATTTATTTGGAGCGCCACAATGCAATTATGTCAAGGAATTTTTAGTCAGTTAAGCTGAGTGCATGTCTCATAATAATCCATTGCATTTTCTTTTAATAGTTTGTAATTTATATATAAGAAAAATACTGAAAAATAATATTAGAAAAACTTAAAAATAACAGAGACAATTTTTGTAATGAATGATGGGATAAAATACTTTTAAAATCTAAAATTCTTTTTACCGAGATAAATACTTGATAGTACAAATTCTCCACATTATTCAATAATAATTATGTTAATTTTACGCACTTAATAATTTATTTGGTCTAAATAATCCATTTTTAAGTTACTGTCGGACCGCTACACTCATCTCCAGGTATCTGTGACTGAAAAATGGAGTCAGCATTTCTTTGACTTGTTTGTTCTAAGTGACTCATCTTCAGTTCTCTCTGATGGAATAAATGCCGTCAGCATTCCTCCACCTTACTTCTTCGATTGGAAACACGGTGATGATTTACATCTTCTTTTCTCGTCTGCCACTTTAGTCAACTTTTTTTTTGAAAGTATTTTATTTTATTCTGTTTTCATAACCATCCAACGAAGCTGCTCAATTTCAATTCGCTGGATAATGTTCAAGTCGTTATAAAACCCGTACAGATGTATGGTTCATTCGAACTTAACAATTGTCGTCAACTTAAACCTGTGTGATTAAGTAACATACGAAGAAGTTTTCTGTTGAATTCCATTAGTTTTGCTTGAACCTTTTTTGTCAGCGTTAATACTTCTGTGACATAGAGAAGTACATGTACGATTAGCAACCATGGAGCATAAGAATTGTAGATTGAAGGAGCTCGTTACAACCCAAATTGTTACAGAATTCATAGTGAGACCCATTAACAATGGTTTTTTTTCTAATATCCAAGGTATCCAAGGTAAAGGTATATCAACATTAATAATGTCCTCAGTAGCTAGTTCGATGTCCGAGTGACACATATTTCAGATGGCAGGTTTAGATCCAATCCGCGATGTGTCGGAATCTCTAAAGTTCTTTTATATTAATTTTCTCTAGTTCTCATAGTACGATTTACTTAGAATACTTGCTGATGCCTTCAAAGAGAACAAATGCAAAGGCAGTTATAGTAAATATTATGAGAAATATCTATTATTTTTGTTGTATGATCTTCAAAACGGGACAAACCGATAATTATTGCTGTCAATCTATTAATTTAATCTAATATTCTTCTCATTTTAATTTATCAGTATTATTGTTTACTGAAAATCTTATCCAGACTCCAATGTCTAACTTGCAAATTTTTTTCATTTTCTATCTGTTATTTGAAAATACTTTGAATTTAAGTATCCTATAATCACTATAAGGGGTGTGGGGTTTGTTCCTGCAAGAACTTCTAGATCTACCACTTACCTCCAATGTATCAAGTTTTTTATAACAATGTATTGTTCACTTAAGGTGACTTATTGTTTACTAAATAAGAAATTACGACCAGAGAGGCATAATGAAGAAATACTTTTTTATAATTTTGAGATTAAAACTTATATGTAATTCATTCACATTAATATTTAGAGTAAAATAAATATCATTTAAAAATAACAATACTTAATAAATTATGTGTTGCAATACAAGATCGTATTCAAACAGTTTACAGGGCTTATTTTGCCCATGTCAAGCTTATGAAATCAAAGTTACTTTCAAAGGAACAAGAGTTGCGCATATATAGAATTATCATCAGACCGGTTCTTACCTACGGCAGCGAAACATGGGTACTTAAATCCAGCGACAATAACCTGCTGCTGAGATTCGAAAGAAAAATGCTTCAACGAAGGTCGAACTATAAGAGCTCAAAGATTGCACTGGTGTGAATAATGAAAGAATGACTAAAACATTTTCGAAACAAAGCCAGGAGGGTCACGAAAAAGGGGACTACCACAACGAAGATGATTTTAAAATGTAGAAGACAACATACGAACAATAAGAATAACACAACACAGTAGGAAACCGGAATGCAGAGAAGAATGAAGGCGTATAGTAGAGAAAGCAATGGTCCATCCGGGACTGTAATGCTAAAATGATGATGATATGTTCTAATAGATATCAATCTATTTAAAATTCTCTTAGTGATAATTTAAATGCCTCATAAAAAGACTTTTCTTTGATTCGACAATCCAAAACATCTGTGTGTATCCTCTTCATTAAACATTAATTTTTTAATTTAAAATTTCTGCACTAAAATTTTTATTTCAAAAACACAATTATATATAAATATATATTATAAACAAATATTATAATATTTAATATAGAAATTAAATAAGAAAAACTTACCAAGGAAAAACAATTTCCAACGTACAAATTTGTGCAGACCAGAAAGCGTCTGCTCCGTTGAGGTCTCAATGGATTCTTTAGTTGTCATTGAATTAACACATTTCAGTTTGCTGTTTTATTTTTTTTTAATATATTTATAAATATTATACGTATTATATCATCATTGTTATAATATTATGTGCATTAAGCACTATAAAGAGTAAGCACTTTCAATTTAATATTTTTTAATATACACCAAGCAATAACAAAATAAAATATCATAAATTAATTTACATTTAATAGATTAATTATACATGGATGTACATAACGATACGGGTATAAGGATTGTTAATAGTAAGCATAATATATAAAAAATAATGGATACTTTTAAATAACTTTAAAAAAAATAATTCGCAACAAAATAAAGGATTGAATTTCATGATATCTGATATCAATACCTTGAATCGGAACTGAATTGTAAACCGAAAACTGAGCAGAACTCCTCTTTTTCCTATAATGAACACTGTAACCAAACCAAAAAAATTATATTGATTTATTTTAATTCAGCACCATTTTTTTTTAGTTGTTAAAACATAAAAGAATTAAAGTATTTAATTCAAAGGCAATTTTTATCGACAAACGTAGAGGGTTTTTTTCAATATTGTAAGTTCGTCACATATTTTTTTTTAAGAGAATGTATAAAATAGTTTCAATTATTAAGAAAAAACGTATTTATAACTCAAATGCATAAAAAGTATCCACTCGGAACTGAACCGAAGACCAGAAAAACTGATTCTTTTCCCAGAGCAAAAACTACATTTACCATATACAGAAATATTTCAATTTTAATTAAGCCGAAAAAAATGTTCGATTCGAAGCTTGTTTCATACTATTGTATTGCAAAGTTTTGTATAATGCACGGAAGAGGATTGAAAAAATCTATAAGAGTATCACTGTAAAAGAAGAACTATACCCTTATTGTAATTAGTTCTCGTATTAATTCATTTCAAATGATATAGAAACTCTGCAAAAGTATACTAACATAATATATCTTACTACTTATTAAAGTTTTTTTAAGTAGCCATTATTATTTATTCACTGAAGGAATATTAACTTATATATTATTAAATATAATATATAGTCAATTTATAAATAGATATTATATTTATTAATAGAATATTGTTGACATTAGAAACTCCAGATATTACTGAAAAATAAAGAGCTACATCTTTTTTTTAATTAGTTCACATATTAAATAATATCAATTTTTATGGAAATTCTACAAAAATATAGTTACGAGTATGTTACAAATTTTTATATTTATTAAAGTCTTTTAAGTTTTTTTTTTTTTAAAGGATTATTATTTAAATTTAATATTTATTTTTTAAAAGAATGTTAATGACATTGAAAAATTTTATGTCACTGAAAAATGAAGGACTATACCCTATGAAGGACTATACTATTTAAGTAATTTTAATATTAAATAATACAAAATATTAATATTAAATAAATACTCAATTTATTAATAATCATACATTAATATTTATTAAAGATTTTTATGTTTTTATTTATTGAAGGAATATTAATTAAATTTACTACATAAAAAAAAGTTAATGACATTGAGAAATTTCACGTCACTGAAAAATGAAGGGCTACATCTTTTTATTTTAATTAATTCTCATATTAAATAATTT